GAGCCGATTGCGCGCTTCGCAGCCGATTAGGCTAAGGTAAGATGTCAAACATACTCTGTTTCTTTGATTATAGAAGTGACGGATCGGTTCTTACGATTTTCTTTTTGTGCAGGCCCTAAGTACCGTACTGATTGTGATGTGCGAGTATGATCGTGAAGCCAAGAGGTGTCAGACCGACCAGACCGAGAAAGAAGCCCTCAAAGAAGCTCTCGAAGCCGAGAAGCTAAAGAGCACCGAACTCGAAGCTAAACTCGGGGAATACTCGGAGAGTCTGGCGCAAGCACGTGCAAACACTTCTGAAAAGAACAGGCTTCTTGGACGGGCCGTAAAGCAGATAACAAGGAGAGGGCCACCGCTGAAAGCAGGCTCGAGTCCGAGAAGAAATTGGCCGAGCAGGAAAAAATCATTTTCGGTCAAGAAGTGGCCAAACGTACGACCAGCGTTGTAAATAATCATTATGCTGGCCTGGTCGCGAAGGTGAAAGAATCTCTCTCCCGGAAGGAAAAATCCCAGAAGTTAATATCGACAACGGCTCAGTGGGTTGGAGCTAAACGAGCACTCAACATCTTTCGTAAACAGGGCTACGACTTTCCGGCTCTGGTGGACGAGAATGTCGAGAAGATGATTGCTGACAGCAAGGCTAATCTAGAAGCCTTTGAAGAGATCAGCTTCACATCCGAGGAGCTACAAGTTCCGGAGGCGGAAGTCTTCCTGGAAGTCTCCAGTGGTGCTCTATCTTTAGCAGCCGTGGCAAGTGAGCCTGAGAAAACTAAGTCTCGCGAGGGAGACGGACAGGAGGAAAAGCGAGAAGCTGAGAAGGGGGACGATTAGGAGGCTGATGTGCCTAACCATCGGGGAGACGAGCAGGAAGAAGGAGAAATCTAGGAAGATGCTAGTGCCGATGAATAGATTTCTCTCTTCCTCGTTTGAACGTTATAATCATGTTTGCCTTTTTTGGCATTTTATCAATGAAAAGATCAATTTATTTGAAAATCTATACTTAAATTGCGACGCGATATCGGCTTATATTTTATGCGATTAAATTTCTAAGTACAAAGCGAATTAGTGAATGCGATCGGCATGTATTCTGTACTTAGAAATTTTTCTTAAGTCGAATGCGAAATGCGACCAGGTCGGCTTAGTAGTTTCGCATGACTCAAGAAGTGCAGAGCGGGTTCTGGCTTAAAAAGAAAGTGTGAATACGAACGTGCGGGAGGCCCGGCTTATGACTGTTCGTACCACTTATCTTCTAAGTGTGATTACTCGATGTGCGATTCAGGTCGGTATCCAAGTCGAATGCGGATGCAAGACTGACTTGGCTAATAACAACGCATGGCTCGGATCCATTGAAACAGGTAAAACTGTAAGATGCAAGACGGTCTTGGCTTTAAGTTGCCGAGCTAAAGTGGATCAGATTTTAGTTTTAGGCGAATCGAGCATCTGGCCGCACCGTGCATATCAATACAATCATCTCTTTCACAAAGCTTATATTTGGTACAAACAAAAATCTTAGAGATCAATTTTTTCCATATTTAATTTTTAACTAGGTGGTCGGTCTGCACCGTGTGCGGACTATAAAATACTTTATATATTTAATATATGATTAATATTGTTTATTGATGATACTCTATTTGTACATGATATATATATTTTTCTTTGATCTATTGTTAATTAAACCAAATTGGGTTTTACCATCTTTACTTATCCTAAGAGCGGGTAGATGGATGCACTGTAATTGAGGTTAACAAATTTCAGGAACGACAAGTTCGTATGAGACTTTGACTTTTGCATAATTAATATTTATATTCATACGCACATTTGTGGAAAAAACGAGTATGGCTTTCATGTTTTAAAAGAAAATAGCAATGTATATGTTTTGTAATATATATATATATATATATATATATATTTATAATATGTTATGATTAATTTTATAAAAGAAATAAATATGTATATATATGCATGTAAGTATGAGCTAGAAATAAGTGAATTGTAATATTCAGATATTGCTTAGTTTTTCTGATATTTTCCGCAAACGTTATGTTTTTACACAATAATATTTAGATGTTGCTTAGTTTTTCTGATATTTTCCGCAAATATTATGTTTTTACACAATGCAGTTTTTGATTTTTATCAAAGATCACGAAAATCATTTCTATCGTTTAGTATCAAATCAAAATTTATTATTTTTCAGCGATTTTTGTTTTTTATAAATTATTTTTCTGTGTTTTGTGATATATACTTTCAAATTAAAAATTAAATTAAATATTAACAAAAATTACAAAAAACTCTAAAAAACATTCAAATATAAGATTTCACTTTACCATGAAGATAAATATAGTACATTGGATAATCATTAGTAATTTTCCTTTTCCATAAAAATTATAATAAGAATTTGTTATAAAATTTGTGAAATCATATTTTTATAAAAGCAAGTGTGTATTATAAAATTTGGTATGCACATGTGTTCATTAAAATTAATGTGTCTTTTTAAGATTTTTTAAATGACTTTGTCAAACCGCGATATTATTACGAAAAACTAAAACTGTAAAGATTTATGTTTGTTTTTACTTCTTATTATCATTTATTCTTTCATTCGATTATTTTTATTTCATTTATGATCTCAAATTCCCGATATACAATGAAAATGCGTATATATATATGAATATGATATAAACTTTTTTTTTATGTAAAATATGAGATCATAGAAAAAATGAGATGGTAACAAAAACTATGTAAATTTAAAAAAACAGTAGTATAAAAATTGTTAAAATTATATACAAATATATAGTTATATTAATACTATAAAATAGTAATCATTAGTATATACTTTATTCATTTGGCATAATAAGTAATAGTTCGAACAAACAAACTATTTTAAGTTATGTTACCTTTTTAAACTTTCAATAAAAGTTAATTATTATTTTATTATTTTTAACTCTTTTTGTTCTTTAAATTATTGTATCATGATTTTATTTTATTTTAAATTCTACTATTTAATAATGTATCTAATTAAAACCTTTTTAGATATTATTATTATAAATTTTCATAAATTAATAAATTTCCAAAATAAAAATATATCATACTTTAAACATTATTAATATATATAATATTTACTATCTTATTGGATAATCATATATTATATATTTTTCTTTTAATATGAAATTATAATATATAAATATGTATATGTGTTGTAAAATTTTTGTACTAATACTTTATCTAATTATGAATATATGTAAAAAATTAATCATAATAATTATCTTTTTGTTATTTTAAAATTATTTATAATTTAGTGTAATTATTTTAATTTCAAGTTTCTTTAATTTTAACTCAGCCAATCAAAACATTTCGTTTATTTTAGGAAATTTGATATATCACATTTACATGTCATCAATACAATACACTAACTTTGATTGTGAGTGTGACACATCAGCAATTTTTACCAATTGTACTTCTCAAATAATGTGTAGGGTATTTTCTGACATATTTTACTCTGTTAATTCTATTTTATAGTATTAATATGACCATAATAAACGAAAAAAATATGATTGTTAGTTTAATTTCAATGAATTCACTATATAAATATGTCAAAATCTTATAGAAAAAAATATGATCTCAAAGTAAGATTGTTAGTTTGTTTGCTATTCATCCTTTAAGAAAAAAAATATGAGATATCTAATATTTAAATTATTTTACTTAGATTATAATTTCTATAAGATTTTGACATATTTAGGAAACTAAACTATAAGATTACTATGTGTCACATTGTTGTAAGCCTACATAACAAAATTGTGCATTTCAGTTTAATGAATATATAAATAGATGTTATAAGCAGGCTACTAAATTCCAATCACATTGCTTTCATTCAAATTCCAAACTTTATTTTTCTTAAAATGGTTAGTTAATTTTTTGGATGCCCGTAAAGAAGATTATACATCTAGTTTTACACATTCAGAAATCAGCATTGTTTATATAGTGAATTCATTGAAATTTTCATTTCATTTCATTTTTTCTTTTTTTGCAGGATTTTTGTGCCCTCAAGTTTAGTCATAACAATGAAGAGGCCAAGCAGGAAGCTATAGATTATCTCTGGACCTGTCCAGGTACTAATGAGGCTTTTTTTTTTTTTGGACAAACGATACTTAATTAAAATAAAGAAAGAGTCAAGCTCCTGCAAAGAGATCAGCCTCAGAATTACCAAGCCTAGATAAATTGAAAGGCAATAACAACAAAAGAAGAAGCCAGAAGCGGGATACAGAGAGGAGACCAAGAATTTTTGATCGATTGATTACCAGAGCTGAGAAGCACAACTTTGAGATGTCATCGGCTCTTGCACCAGAGACTGCAGATTTTATCGCGAGAGATATAAGAAGCCAGGTTTTAAAGTTCTAAACAATTTATACTAATGATTTTTTTTTCTTTGCGTTAGGAGTTACCGACATACAAGTATTAGATGAAAAAAAACGCATGCATGTCGTGCGTGGAGAAGGACTCAATGGCGTACAAACGCAGGAGGAGGTTGATGAGATTTTTTCAAGATATAAGAAACCTGGCCTCTGGTGTTTTTAGTCCCTAATAATGATATGGTGTTTATATGTCTTCTTATTTGTAAAAGAATTTGGATTTTAACTAATAATTTTATGGTGCATATTAATTATGTATTCATATTCTATAAAAGTGTTTGAAATTTTTACATATTATTCATGATTAAATTTTGGTTAATATACACGCTGACACGAACGCATGTGTGATTTGTGAGTAAAGTGACTACAGTATGATTCTTAAATGCATAAATGTATTCTATCCGCATCTTTTTTTTATTAAAAAAAAATAGGTATGAACTCTTATATTTATTTCTACAATATATATTTGAGCAATAGTTTTGATATATACTAATGGATCTTAAAGTAATCAAAGATCAAATCACAATACACTGCGAATATATGAGGTCTAAAATATAGTGTAGGACGATGAAGCCTAAGAGTCTCTTTCATAATAGCTTGCAAGTAAAGAACTAGGAATGTGTGATTCTTCAACTTGTTTAGGATTCATTCCAAAATAATTAGAAAAACAACATTAAGAATCCAAAAGGTCATGAAGATAAGCCAAAACAGTAAATCAAGAAACAGAGTTTTAAAAGTTTTGATCTCATGAACATAATCACAGATTCTGCTTATTTGTTCTTTCTTTCTTTTTTTTTTTTTGCTCCAAGAAATAAAAAGGAAACAAGTTCATTCTTCTGATCATTCATAGGATCTAAGAAAGCAAAAGAAAACACTCTTTCCCTTCTTATCTCAAAAAGCCTTTTTGAACCTATTGTGTTTACCTCTACTTTTCCTCAGAACTCACTTGATGCTTGAACCGGCGAGCACAATCCTGGTATCTCATAACCAGACCGCTGCATCTCAACGGGTTATCGATGTTCTCCTTGTAGCATTTCATCCACGCTTCGCTATCCGAAGAACATGGCATTGGTTTCGGTTCAGGGATCTTAAACTCTTTCTCCCTCAGTTCCTTGGCCTTCTCTGTCACTTCATGAGCAATGTTCTTTTCTTGTCTCTCCAACTTCTCAAGAACCATCTCACTCTCTTTCAAAACGGATTTTATCGATTCCAACTCCGCGCTTGCTGCCGCTTGTTGCGGTATTGGGAAGAAGAATGGTGGCTGAATCGGCAGTTCTGCCGCCGCTGGTTTCGGTTTCTCTGCGTCGTGGTGAGATGTTTTCGTTTGATCTGACTTCCTCTGTGGTGAGACTTTAGGTTTGGTTCTCTTCGCCTTCCTCTTTGGTTGATCATCGTTGCCTTTAGCTAACTGATTGATTAGCCCTGAACTGATCTTAATCGAGAAATCTCCCATTATTACAGAGTTTGAAAAACCTGGAAGATGAAATCCACATCAAGAACAACAGTACAAAATCTAATGCGAGTCCCAAAGTAAACAAAGTTTCCTCAAGTCGATGGTTTCAACAAGATATGTGCTTATATATTCAAGATAAACAAAACCATAGAGACCTAAAAGCAAACAGACATGTAATCAAACGCTAGCATCCTGTCATAGCAACAAAAGATGACTCTTTTTTTCTAATGTGGCAGATTTTGTAAAGCTTAGTTTCATCGTTTGTTTTACTCTTTCATGAGGTAGGCTGAGATAAAGAGGTAAGAAAGATAAAAACGAATTTCGGCATTGGCCACAAGAAGAAAGAAACTTCAAATATACATGAGTGCTAAGAAACAAACATAAATGTTGAAATGCTAAGCAAGGAATGAGTAACCTATATGTACATACATAACATAATATTGCTTCTATAAAGTATGTTGCTTCACAAAGCTGTGGAACTAAAAGAGACAATACAGAAAGTATTTCTGAGAACGTTGAATCTTATGAAAATGCGAAGATCTTATCAAAATGCCTGTTTCTGAAAATCCAGATATGAAACGTTCGTAACAACTTGTCAAGATCCGAATATCTTAAATTTTCCACAAGTGTTAACAGTAAAGTGCTTTTCAGAATTTAGATGAGCACAGAAACTAAACTCAGGATCAACACTGAGCACATCGAACCATACAAAATCAACGGATAGTTCGTCTAAAATCCCTAGGATCCCCACATCAAACATCGAAATTTGAGCAGAGAAAAACCAAATTCACATGAAAAACAGCATCGTGATGGTAAACGGAGACGGTACCTTGTAGGAGAAGAAGATCAAGAAGGAATCGGCGGCGAACGGCGATTCTCTCTCCTCGCCAGCAAAAGATCGTCAAAAGCTGTGAGAAGGAAGACGAGAGAGGAACTGTGACGCAGGTTCGTAAAAGTCTGGGCTTAGTTGCAAAACAAAAATACTATATTAAGCCCAAATTATTTTATTGGGCTTATAAGGCATTTAAACATTTAGGATACATAGAAGGCAAAAATAATTATTATCAACGCAAAAATTATTATCAGAATGTGATGAACAAAAAAAAGATTTTAAGAATGTTTTGTTCCTATAATCACATAATTTAGTGGAAATCTTCTCTCTAAATCAGTTGTACAAAAGATTTCCTAGACTTTTAAAAAGCTTTTCAGAAAATAAGTTATTATGTATCTGAGAGTTGAGGCAAAATTCCTTTTTTTAAATGTGTGTGGGGGTATTTTAATAAAAATTATTTAATTATTTAATATATAATTATTTGTTAACGACTAGGAAATTTTAAACTGAGCACCGCAATCTCATAAATTCAAAATCAAAAGTCAAGACATGCTGCGTGCAATATAAAACATCATTTGATCATATAAAAGCATCCTCATAATTCTCCCAATGTATTTTACCAATAAAATAATGAAAATAAATTAAAGAAAAAGAGAAGTAAGAATCTCATTTCTAGGTTCAATTCATTTCTTTCAATTAAAATTTAATTACATACCTAGATTATATTAAAATATTATTTTTTTAATTGTTGAGAATTTCAAAAGAGGTTTTATAACCAATATGGATGCTCGAATAACCTTTAGATTTGTCATTTGTACCCAACACAAAAAAGTAAAATTTATGGACACTATGAAGCAACTCGTCCATATTGGCGCCTCCAAAACAAACGTTGGTCTTCCTTTCAGATTAATCATACGTTATTACAATATAATATCATAAAAATTGACTCATTTTGCAATAATAATATCATAAAAATTGACTCATTTTGCAAAACCGCTGCTAATATTGCAAGTCACACCATGAGGTGGCAAATATTAGAACACATTTTCATCTAGGTACAAACCTGGTCGTACGTGTCAAATAGGCGTTCGTCTCTAATATATTTCCGTATAGACAACATGCAAATATATATTACTATAAGATAGCTTATTTGTTAGTTATTCACACGTGTATAAACGCAAGACCACGAACAAAATGCTTGCTTCTTTTTGCGGTATCGTCCACGGCAACGGCTAATAAACTCCGGCAACTATAATATCCATTGACAATGTTAGACTTCGAGCAGTTTCTAAATTGTTCTCATTGACAAATACTCTATGCATTGTGTGTAACTTAATTTATCTCATGTTGCTGCCGCGCCATTTGAGATTTGATCCGTTGAGCCAAAGTTGTAGTAGTTCCGAAGCTAAGGATGGCCGATGACGTTGTATCCTTTTATTATTTTAACTGAAACCAATTAAGAAAAAAAAAACTATTTATCAGTAGTAATTAGTGTCTTGTAGTGTGTGTTATTGTGTGTTGAGCTAACTTTTAGCTATGGGTCGCACGTGTGTGTTCATTCGCACGTATGCACCCTACCATTTCACATTAGTTCCAAAGTCTTTTTCATCAACCAATTACTCTAGGTTTTCCAACACTCCTCAGTTTTCGTGAAATTGTATTAAACAATTAGTATTTCTTAAAACCTTAATTAAATTGACTTAATTTTGAGGACAAAAATATGCTATTTAAATCTAGAATTACTTTATCAGTACACATTTTCAGAATGACTATTAAGTATACGACGAGTAGTGATAAATGCATTCTAATTCTAGTATACCTGAATAAATAGATTATCCACAAAAATGTTTTAATTAATCATTTCACCATCACAAGTTTAGCTTATGCTTCTATGCACGCGTATTATGTAATGGAGTGTGTATCTTTTGATTTAAAATTTTGTTACATGAAATTTAACATTGCATATTATACTGCATAAAAATACTTATTATCACAAGACAGTTACAAACATTTTACGAAATTGTTGAAATTTCCACATCGTACATTTTGTTTTTATATACAAGCGCCACATATACCATCTTATTTTTCTATTGTATTTCTGAATCAGTATTTGCTTTTATATATCTTTGCGGGATTTTTTTTTTTTTTTTTTTGTTAATATTCTTGGGTGGTTGTTAATTCGAGTAAATATAAAAAAAACATGTATAATATTATTATAATTCATATATTCGTATATCGTTTATGCCAAAAGTCTATATATGCAGTGTATGAACCTAATTAATGCCAATATAGTATATCGTATTTAAAAACTCTATATTGTATTTCGTTTTTACTTAAAACTTTTTATAGTCTGTACAATATGTCGGACCAAAGATTAGAGATCTTGTACTCTTTGGTTGCACTACTCACCTTTGTTTGGTCAAATAGTATACATTTATATATGTATATACGTGAATTATTAATTATAAAAGTTTCCAATTTTTTAAAAAATGTTTGTGGTGGTGGATGACGCGAGACAATGTTGGGGCTATATATAGGTGGGTAAGCATATAGGTGCTTAGGCATTTGACATTAAATCTTCTAAGTTGATGTAACTTTAGTTTTCACTTTCGAAAACATTAAGGTTTTCTGAAATCTCTCTCTCTCCCCCTCAAATTAATAACATATATTAATACACTCACATATATATATATATATATATATATATGGGGAGGCAGCCATGTTGTGACAAACTAGGGGTGAAGAAAGGACCGTGGACGGCGGAGGAAGACAAGAAATTGATAAACTTTATAATGAAAAACGGCCACTGTTGCTGGAGGGCTTTGCCGAAGCTGGCTGGTCTCCGTCGCTGTGGGAAGAGCTGCCGTCTACGGTGGACCAATTATCTCCGACCTGACTTGAAGAGAGGTCTTCTATCCGATGCCGAGGAACAGCTTGTCATCGACCTTCATGCTTTACTCGGCAACAGGTATGAGCTAGTTTTAAACAATATCTCATTTTATACATATATAAATTGATAATACGTTTAGTTTTACCAATATATCCTCGATATAATCTATATGCATGTTTGGATGTACATCTCATATGAATGATACAGTCATCATTATATAACTTATATTCATATGATCTTAGGTAAAGTAACGTTTACAAATACTTATTTTAGCTTTCAACTTAAGTTTATTTTTAGATGCTACTTTGTGAACCACAAAAAAAAAACATATATGTTGACTAATATAATGCATGTAGTAGACAATGTAATTCTAATGTATAGTTGAAAACTAATCCAAAACTTATAATATATTATATAATGTTCGGATCATATGATTGAATAAGAAAATGATATACTACTGTATATCTTTTCACCCAAAAAAAAAAATTGATATATATATCTAATTAGTAAGTTTCCCTTCTTTGAACTAAAGTCTTGTATGTATTTATATTTTAAATATAGGCATATATTTCATTTTTGAAATTAACTTCGAGACAAAGTAACGTTCCTCGCTTTCAAATATAATATAGAATAACTTAAATTGTCAATTTTCTTTGTGCTATATTCCAAGACTGAAAGACTTTGACATCTTTACCAACACCTCAAAACATTATTTTTCAAAAGAAAACATATTCAATGTAACTAAACACATTTCTTTTGATTTGTTTATGTAGATGGTCCAAGATCGCTGCAAGATTACCAGGAAGAACAGACAACGAAATAAAAAACCATTGGAATACTCATATCAAGAAGAAGCTCCTTAAGATGGAAATCGATCCTATGACACATCAACCTTTAAACAAAGTATCTAGAAAATCATTCCATACATACGAAACTTCACCGAAAGCCGGCAATGTAAAGATAAGTGATTATAAAAGCAAAGAGATTGATGGAGGAACGATGATGAATTCCATAGATGAAAGTAGCACAATCACACATCAAGATAGTTCAGCTGATGATTATGAGTTACTCGGTGACGATTTGTTTAACATTCTATGGACCAACGATGAGCCTCCTCTAGTCGATGAGTCATGGAGCAACAATAACGTCGATGTTGGTGGTTCGGCCTTGGGAAAGAATATATTTTCCGCCGGGGAAGATTTTCCGACATGGCCATCGGAGAAGAAGAACGTTGAAAGTTGGATGTTTTTGGATTATTGTCAAGACTTTGGTGTTCAAGATTTTGGTTTCGAGTGTTACCATGATTTTGGCCAGAGCTCCACAGAGACTGGTCCCAAGGATTAGCATCTGCAAGCATATATATATCACAGAATCATAGTGACATAAAAGTTTGTAAGAAAAAGCAGTAAACATGCACCATGGTTTTATAAAGTATATTATTAATATTAATTAGGGTTACAAAAAAGTATTTTTAGGAGTTGTGGTTAATTCAAAGTTCTTTGGCTTTATGCTGTATTTAGTTATTTTAATTATGATTTAGTTCAACCAACCGAAAATCAAATATACCTGCGACTAGTAAGAGAGGAGGTGTGGAAGTCCGACTCTGCTAACAAAACCGCAGTCGTGCATTCACTAAATTTTACAATCCGTTTTTATATTTAGGCAAACATTTTAACTTTTCTTTACAATAATCAACACACAGCATATTCAATAAATCATTTCATTTCATTATAACTTGAATCAAACAGTTAAAATTCGGGATTCACTTAAAACCAAAACACAATGGTTTTCTAACAATACATCATATCATCTAGCAACCTAAAACGGCCAACATCAAAGTCCATAAGACAAAACACAAGTCTTAAATATAAAAAGACTCAATCTCCGATCCATCCATGTTCATCACTGTCGCTGGTCTCGCTCTACTTACTGCTTAGATCCTGCACACTCAAACAAGAAAGGCATAAGTATTGTCATAAATACTTAGTGAGTATGGTCATCCCGTAAACACCTTGGCTAGTACCATTCATGCATTCATACTAGCGGATTCAAAATCCACACGATCAATTCACAATAACCATAACACATATCAAACGGACATGATCATCTTAGCCACCCAAGATCAATCCCTTTTTAAGATTCATGTCTACTTCAGCGAGAATCCCACATCCTCTAAGCTAGTACATGATCCGGATTATCCTGAGGTTAGCTAGACATCATCTATGTCACGGTAAACACCTCACAATACATAGTATAGAATCGTTTAATACACGCTAAGCACAAAATATGCAAATCACACAATCAAACATGCAAAACATCAAACCCTAGAAATCCAACGATCCTAGACACTAGCCACAGTCACTCACTCACCTTAGACAAGGCTGGAAACAGATTGGTCAGAAGAAATCCCGATGAAACTCGCACAGAATCGAAAATATCCGATCACCCTAGAAATCTCTCGGCTATCGCTACGATCCGATCTCCCTCTCCCTGGCTATCTCTCGACCTGTTCACCTTTCTTCGGGACAAACTCTGTTCCCTCTCAGAAACACCACAAAACACACCTATTAACTCAAGATTATCCGATGGAAACTCGACACTAAGGAAAATATCCGATCACTTACCAGATTCTCATGGACGGTCTGAAATGCTCTCGGATAACTCTCAATTTGCTCAGGCGTTTTCAGATCTCTCTCGGCTAAAACCTCTCTCTCACGGTAAAACCCTTAGCTTATAAGCAGCTCCCGAAGAAATAAATAGTTTTGCTCCTTTTATCCGTGCCAAACCCTAATTATCAGCACTTAGCCGAGAAAATCCTATCACGACTAGGAAAATCCCCATTCCCTCGGTTATTAGTGAACAGCCCACGAGCCCAGCCCATTTTCCATTGGCTAATTCCTTTTTCTCTCGGCCAAACCGCATTTACCCGAGTTATTTCCCTTTTGTTCGGTTATGTTCCATTCTCTCTCAAATAAACCAAACCACCTCGGCTAATTTCTATTTTTCTCTCGGAGACTTTTCTCTTTTTCCTGACACAGTCCACTCTCACTTGAACTAACTCATATTTCTCACGGAGTGGACCATTTTCTCTCGGATATAGTCCATCCGGCTCGGCTATCCCAATTATCCATCGACTATTTTTCAGTCGTCACCCAACCATAGTCTTAACCTCCATTTCCCAGCTAATACCCGAACCTTGACTCGATCATCCCTCGGACAATGTTCTGTCTACCTCGTTTATTTTAGTTTTCTCGAATACGGATGCTTACAGGAGGTGCGGACAATCTGCTCACTAATGCACAATATGGACAATTAGAAGTGCAAAATATTATATTGCACCTTATGTTTTGTTCATCACTAACCAGATAATAATATATATCTATTCTATTTAAAGAGGATCTTTTAGATGTTTAAATATGATTAATATGTTATATATTACATGAAATACCATTATATTTTAGTGTTTTATCTAAAAAATCATTAAGTGTGGCTTAGTTATTTGTTAATACGTATAATTTAGAATTCTTGCTATACAATGATAATACATTCATATATGATATAATATTTTTTATATATTTAAAAATAAGATTTATTTAGTTTTAACTCAACCAATCAAAACATTTCGTTTATTTTAGAAATTTTATAATGTCACATTAACATGTAAACATTAAAATACACTAACTTTTCTTTTGAACTCCTGTGTAAATATATAGTCACAATTTTTATATAGATTAATTAGTAATTATACATTTAGATATATATAAATATAATATAATATAGTAAAATATGATTACATTGTTATTTCAAGTTTATAAATTTTGTTTGATTTATCTTCCAAATTTATTGTTATGATATATTTTAAATAAGTTTTATATTGTTGAAAATATTGATTTTTATTTTTTTGATGAATATTAAGAATTCGAACCAAGAAATATCTCTATAAATTAATAAAATATTATTCAATTATTGATTTATCAATTAGTTAATAACTATAAAAACTAATCAAATTTGGGAGTCCTAACATTATTAATTTATTGTGGTTTTACTGTATAATTTAGTGTATTTATGTTATAGTTTCATAATTATTTAATTATAATCTACCCAATAAAAATATTTCGTTTATTTTAGAAAATTTGTCATATCACATTTTCAGGTCACCATTAAAGGTTCTGACACATCATTTTTTTTCACTAAACATGCTTGTCAAATAGTAGTTAAACAATTTCATAATTTATTTAATTATAATTCAGCCAATCAAATATTTTGTTTATTTTAGAAAATATGCTGGGTCATAATTTTAGATTACCATTAAAAAAATACTAACTTTTGCTATGGTACTAACACATCATTTTTTTATTAAACATGCTTGTCAAATAATAGTTAAGAGGGATATAAATATTAATAAAATATGTTGTTAAATAAATATTTGAACCCAATTTAAGGGGGGTTATTGGGAGATGGAAGTTTTGATTGATTTTAAGAGTGGAGAGATTTGTTAAATTTGTTAAAAAGATTTGTTAAATTTGGCAAGAGTTTGTTTATTTAGAAAATCTATGAAAATATTTTATTGTAATGACTTTGAGAATCTAAGCCATATAGATAATAATTTGAAAGTCTTCCAAAATCTTGTTCTATGAGTTAAATTGTATAAAATCTATATCCCAATAACATAAAATTTTAATAGAATCATAAAATCTTTAAAATCCAAACTTTTGGAATAACAAAAAATTTTGGATGAAATTTTTAAATCTTTAAACCAATAACAATGGATTCTAGTAAGATTTTAGTAATCAATAAATCTATACAACTACAATATTGGTCTAAATTACATTTTATCGTTCTATGTGATAAATGTAAACATATAAAGTAATAAATCTAATCATTTTTATTAATATTTTTCACGTTCTCACATATATACTAAGTTACTGTTGGATCCACTTTTACCATGACCAATATCGAAGCAACACGTGGATACTGGGTCCCATTAAAACGATGAATTTCTCATGCTAAGCCTCCCACCAGCTCCTTAGCAGACTGTTCCCGGGCAGATGGCGTGCTTAATGAAGCAGGCGTGCTGTACTAAACCGTGCTTAATGAAGCAGGCGCACTGCACGGATGGGACAGGACGAGTTAAGAGATACATAAAAGGAGGCCGAGAGCCAAAAGAGAGAGAGGAGGACGGCCCGACTAAAAGAACAGCCTGACTAGAGAGAGAGAGAGAGAGAGAGAGAGAGAAAGGTCAATCTCCTAACTCGAGACCCGATTTAAGATCCGAGGAAGGACGACCACCACCACCAAAACATAAGAAGGAGGGGAGGAAAATCTCTGACCTCTGCCTCGCTGGAGCTCACCCCGAGTCCCTCACCCAGAAGGGAGCACTCACCGTTCTCCGATGGCGATACCTAGAAAGATAAGTATTCTCTTCACCTCAGTACTCTACTTTATACCCGTGCGGATATAGCTCCTACCCCACTCTTCTCAAAGTCCACCCCTTGTACATCATCTTTCACCAAATATCAGACAAGTACCACGATCCTCGGATGGGGTACACAACCCATAAACCACCTCTAAATTCACCTTCCCGAGTACTTTTTCCCAGTAAAGCGTGTATTGATTTGAGCGTCGGAAAATCTTCAAGAGGAAAATCCCCTTTCGGTCCATCCAGAGGTCCGACTCATTTGTTTGGCCATGATCGCAGGACCCATCTGACTTCCGTCCCCAAGTCGTATGTCACTTATCCTCCCGGAGACACAGCTCCTCACACCCGGACAAACGCATACCCCGTACATAACCTGAAATTTATGTCCGAACAGTTACTAACACACCAATCAATTTTTAAATAATTTAAATAATTTGAAAAAATAAAATCATAATAGTCTCTTCTAATAATTAAATTTTAATTTGAATTAAACTAGGTATTACTAAATTAATAATTATATTTTAATAAATACTTTTCTAAAAAAACTATAATAAACAGATAAGAGTTTTTTTAACTTTCATTTATAACAAAAAGCTATTTATTAATGATTTTCACGTTCTAAGATAGATACTAACACCCTAATGAGTTTTTATATTATTTAAGTAATGTTGAAAAATCAAATATTAGTGGTCTTTTGAAAAAACCTAAAAATTAAATGTGATAATTTTAATTTAATTAATAATTTAAAAATAAAAGCTATAATGAAAAGAGAAGAGTTTCTTTAACTTTTATTTATAACAAAAAAAACTGTTGATTAAGATATTTATTTTTTGTAACATAAGTAAAAACACATATAAATACAACACTATATAGTTTTAATAATTTCACAATAAAAACTCCAAAACGACTAGCAAAACAAATTCGA